ATGACAGGAAGGGGCCTTTAAGCTAAATTTGCACTTTTGAAGGCCGCTCGCCTTGGGGCCCGATGTCTCGGGGCTCATCCTTGAAGTGCCGATCCGCGGTTCTACACCACCCTCCTCTCCCCTTCTCCTTGGCACGCTCGCAACGGGCACGGCAAGCATGGGCACGATGACCCAGCAGCGAGCGTTATCCAAAAACCGACGGCGGCCGCTATTGGGCAGGCGACGTCTGTCCCCAGATGGACGAAAGTCCAGCGCGGCACCGACAGAGCTGCTTCGAAGAAGAAACAACGGCAAAACAAAACAACGTTTGGCGCTCCGCGCGGATTTCGTGGATCTTATGTGTATGCCGTTTCTTGTTTCTCTATTATTTGTTGCGTCCCCGTTTCGATCGTGCCGAGCTTCTCTCTGCCACTGTCGCGCGGGGCGCGCCTGGGGCTGACTTCGTGGGCGGGCCGACATGGGAGGCCCGACTGGAGCGGAGCCTGCAGAAAAATGAGCAGCAGAAACACATGCTCCATTCATGGAGCGCGTCCTGGCGGGGATGGCGATGTGGATCCGGCCTTGGCGACCAGGCTACCCCCCCCCGCAGGTTTTCAGAGGAGGCAAACAACGAGTGCATCGAGACTCTTCTCGACTGCCCTCCGCCTCCACGAGACCTCGATCCCCGACCGCTCCTGGGCCCCCGACGACGTGTTCATTGTTTCTCGCGCAGCGTGGACCTCCACGGGTCCGCACCACTCCCCCAGGACCAGCTCTTTCACGAGCGACCCGAACACACCACGACGAGGATCCGACGGGGGCTCCAGCCCCACCGCCGTCGCTCTCCTGGCGCGGAGCCCGCGTGCTCCGCGCGCGGACGCGGCAGGCGGCGTCCTTCCGTCCGTCCGTCCGGTGTTGTCCTCGGGCGTCGATTGGCACGGCAGGGGCCCCTTGGAGGCCGAAGAGGAAGCCAGCGACGCGCGGTCCGTCGTGCGCCCTTCGCGGCGCGAGGGGGGGGCGCTGGGCAGCGCGGAGGAGGGGGTGGGGCCGGAGGGCACGGCGAGGGTGGCGGGTGGGCCCCCTCGGAGGCCGAAGGAAGCAAGCGACGCGCTGTCCGTCGTGCGCTCTTCGCGGCGCGAGGAGGGCGCTGGGACAGCGCGGGGGAGGGAGTGGGGCAGAGGGCACGGCGAGGGTGGCGGGTGGTGCTGTGGAGGGCGGGAAGGGGGCGAGAGGGGAGAGATCGGCAGAAACTCCATACAGTCGGGCCGATGTGTCAGATCGAGGTCGAGTCGGGGAGGCTGCCCTGGTGTTCTTCGCTGCTGGTGGATGTTCTGTGCACCCTGGAGAGGGTACCCTTGGATGTTCTGTACGTTCAGGCTGGCGGAGGGTCTCAGGTTCCTCTGTCCCAGGTTCGACCGTATGCCACAGGGGGGGAGGGGCCGGCGTTGTTTTTGTCTCTTGGACCTTCCCCGCCGACCACCAGTACCACCATCCCCACTCCCCAGTGGCATCCTGCAGGAGTGCCACTGCATATTTTCCCTGCGTGGGTGAACGCTGGAGGAGGAGGACGAGGACGATGGGGCAGGAGGACGAGGAGGAGGGGGAAGAGGAGGAGGAGGAAAGGGAGGAGGAGGACGACGACGACGACGAGATCGGGAACGGAACGGGGGGCAGAGCGGGAAAATGCCCGGAAGACGGCGCCCAAGCATCCCCCGCCCTCGAGGATCCTCTCCCATGCCCTAGGGGCAATGACGTCCTGCGGACGTCGTTACCAACCCCGAGTTAAACGGGCGTCCGTTCGCGCCCAAATGGCGAGGATTTCTCAGGCGGTTTGCCTGTTTTGGTCCCCAACATCCTCCGCTTTCGGAGCAGATTTGGAGGATGTCTCGAGCGAGGCGCTCATTTTCGCCCTCCAGGGGCCAGATTTTGAGGATGTCTCGATCGGTTTACCTGTTGTGGTGGCCAGACTCGTGGGCACACATTCTCCCCAGGATGCCACAGGAGGCTCCAGCTGGCTTCAGGAGGCCCCAGGAGGCCACATGAGGTCCCAGGAGACATCAGGAGGCCACAGGAAGATTCAAGAGGCCACAGGATGTCCCAAGAGGCTCCAGGAGGCCCCAGGAAGCTCCAGGAGGCCTCAGGAAGCCACAGGAGGCCCCAGGAGGCCACAGGAAGCGCCAGGAGGCCCAGGCAACAGGAGGCCCCGAGAGGCCCCAGGAGCAGGAGGCCTCAGAAGGCAACAGGAGTGGCTCCAATCCCATGTGTTTCACGTATGCTCCTATAGATTGGGCCTCTCCTGGAGCACGACTCCTTGATGTTATACGTATGTTTCTATATCTTGTCCTTCCCCTGTGTATACAATCCTAAATGTTTTACGTTTGTTCCTATAGATTGGGCCGCCCCTGGGGCACAAGTCCTTGGTGGTTTACGTGTGCTCCTGTAGACTGCCCTTCTCCTGTGGCTCCAATCCGCAATGTTTTATGTGCGTCTGTTCCTATAGATCGGGCTTCTCCTGGGGCAC